GGTAAGACATGTGTGGCTTAATATTCAGCAATAGATTCAAAGGCAGATTTCTAGAGCACTTTTCTCACAGAGCTCCCTTCTCTCCCATACTTTGCCTCCATATTTCCCAGCTGCCTCAGCCTTCCCAAACTTGGATCTCTAACTCTGACTCAGCAATTCTGCCATGTTTGCTTGGGTTCCCCTCTTCTTACACAGTCTAGAAAAAAAGCCAGGATGATTATAGGGCTCACCTCATTTGTTCACTTTTCTCTGGGATCACAGTCCTGCATATAATAATAATATATTTAAAATAACTGCTATTTTTCACTTATGTAAAAAGTCTAAATGTAGAATTTCCAGGTCTGGAATGGTGACAGAAAGTTATCAGTAACTCAGGCTCTAGTTGTCTCTCTGTTAGGGTACAGCTCTCATCCTCATCATCTAAGATAAAAGCTGAATTCCTGCAGGTAGCAGTATAAAAGAGTAAAAATGGTGTACCCATGTAGAGATACCCCAGAAATAACGTTTCCATTTATATCTCATTAGACAGGACTTAATCAGATGATCACAGCTAAGCTATAAGAAGACTTAAAAATAGTCACTTAATCCTGGTGGCAATGTACCCACATAAAAATTAGGGTTTGTTACTAAAGAAAATAGAAAAGTATTGGGGTACACAATAAACAGTCTCTGCCAAAATTCCTAAGATTAAATTTAAGAGGACAAGCATATGATTTATAAAGAAAAGTGTAAAACAAGTCTATGGCCATACCATCCTGAATGTGCCCGATCTTGTCTGATCTCGGAAGCTAAGCAGGGTCAGGCCTATTAGTACATGGATGGGAGACTGCCTGTGAATACTGGGTGCTGTAGGCTTTAAAAAAAGAATGCCTGACAAGAAAAGTATAAAACATTTTCAAAAATATCAAAGGACACAAAATAAGACCTAAAAACATGGAATAACATGCCATGTTCCTAGATGGGAAGATAACCACAAAAAGACCCACATTTCACATTAAGATATAAATTTAATATAATACTAATCAAAATCCTTAAGATTTTTATAGGGAAATATTGTGGGATGAGGAATTGTTTTAGAATTAGATGAAATAATTTAAAGTTCATATAGAAGAAAATATGTCCACAATATGCTAAGAGATGTTTTTGAAGAAATATTAATAACTAATACCTAAGTAGAATTACTATATGTCCTGGTTTGCCTAGGACAGTCACAATTTGGTACCACTGTTTCAGCATCTTGTATAATTTAACATCTTCGCTTTTGAAAAATTATTAATAATTGCACTGAAATAAGCCAGAATAGGCTCAATATAATACAATTTTTTTTAACTTCCAGTTTTTGCTATGGTCTCATCTAATAATTTATAAACTATCACATGTACAGTGGTTAAATCTGAAAGTCAATCAGTGAGAAACTGAATCTTTTCAGGACTTTTGCATAGACAACAATATCTTCTAACTCCTTCCATCATGCTTTTACCATGACATTGTGCTGCACCAAAATTTGTATTTGTATTATTACCTCCAAAAAATGTTTCATCTTTAATGTTGAACTTTTTACACTAAATCTTCATTAGTGTCAGATATTTCACTTCTGATAGAATGACTTCCCAAAAGCTTTACTGGGATTCTATTGAAAGGATTCAATATTAAAAAAACCATTACTGAGTAATAACTGTTCTCTAGGGTTCATAGATGGTGATAAACCTTATATAATTTAAACTGTTTGCAAAGTTCTACTAACGGAGTCAACATATGAACACCTGTCACTTTACTGTTTGCACATGGAAAGGAAAGTCTGCACGTTTAATTCAGAATTATGGATTTATGGATTTACTGCAAGCTTAAAAAGGAATGGTGATAAACAAAAACTGTATCTTATGTGCACCTGGCCAATAATTCCCATATTTTCCACTGACTGGCAGCCTGACAGTGAAATGAACAGTATAGGCAGCAAGCTTTTAGAGAATTGCAAATATTAGGTCAAATATTACAAAAATATTTTTAATGTGTAAGTGTTCTCAAAAAAAAAAAAAGTGAAATTTCTAGGTGTCAACAGCCACTTAAGCCCCTCAGCAGGCTATCGCCCCTCAATGAAAGGTAAATAAAAAATTTCCTATCTACTAGAGGTATGTGTAACAAGGTTGCCAATCTCTGTTCAGGGATCTTGATAGAGAAATGTGAATATCTGAATTTTCTCTTTCCTTGTGGTATAGGAATCCCCAAGGCAATAAATTAACACATGCATTAGAACATGTTAGGGGCTAGTGATGCCCTAGAAAGTCTAGCAGTGCAAACACAAAACTACCCTGGAGATTCTCACAGAAGAAAAAAACATGTCAGCTAAAGATGATCTCACAACCAAAAATTATGCATCTGTACAAGGAAACATAATATACCATAAGCAAATGTTAGCAGATACAAAAAACTGGAATAGTAAACCCCTGAGAACTCTGTAATTGTAAAATGTGAAGCTAAGCCCTGAAATCAAATATTCAATAGAAGGATTAAACAGCACATCAGACGAAGCTGAACAGATGAGTGTATCAGAAAGTGATTTTAAGCAAATTATCCAAAATACAGGACCTTAAGGAGGGAGAGATGACAATAAACATAAGAGGTTAAAATAAATGCAGGACTGAATGAGGTGGTCCTATACATATCAAACTAGAGTTCCAGAAGGAGGCAATTCTGTGGAGAGCTGGGTCACTCCTAAGCAGGATAAATGAACGTAAGTCTCCAGCAATGGTCTCAACCCTGGCTGCACCTTGGATATATCCCTAAGAATCTTTAAAAACAAACAAAAAAAATTGCCTAGATCTCATTCCCCCAGAGATTTTGGAAGTGGTGGAGGGTAGGGTAAAGCATCTGTATTTTCTTCAGTATTTCCCAAGTTATTATAGTGAGCATCCAGGATTGAGAATCTATGATCCATACCTAGACATAGCCAGTGAAAACGACAGAACAAAAATAGAGAAAATGTTAAGAATAACTACAACAGAGAAGTAACACAATTTACAAAGTAAGAACCTAGACTGACAACAGACTTCTCAACAACAGAAGCCAAAAGAATCATAGAATAGTACAGACTAAGTGCTGAGAGAAAATAACTATCAACTTAGAATTCTACATAGCTAACTATCATTCAATAGCAATAATGAAATAGACATTTTTAGTCAGTGGGAGAGTTTACCATTTATAGAGCTTTGCTGAAATAGCTACTAAAAAGGATGTGCTTCAGGAAGAAACACTGAACCTAGAAAGGAAACGGGATACAAGAAATTCAAAACATAAAAACAAAACACAATAAACTGCTGCTGCCTGCTAAACTCACATCTCATACTTCTTTCTTTTCCTAAGTAAGCAATCAATCAAAGTATTAAGTCTTTCAGGTTATCCATCCCACTACTTTGTAAACATTACCAAAGAAACTAGCTGACCTCAGTTTTTAAAGAATGAATGCATGGGACCCACTCTAGATGTACTGTAACTCTGGGAAGAATGGGCAGGAATTTTTTTAAAAGCCCACCAGATCAAAAGGATAAGCAGGTTTAGGAACTTCAGATCCTAGCATTTCCTTTATTCAGTAGTTCTCAAAGTATAACTCCTCAAACAGCAGCATCATCTTTACCTGGGAACTTGTGCAAACTCAAAGTCTCAGGGCCCACCTCTGATCTACTGAATTAGAAATTCTGGGGATGGACTCAGCAACTGTGCTTTTACAAGCCCTCCAAGTGATTCTGATGTCAGCTCAACTGTGAGAAAGCTGCTTTGCTGTAGTCTCATGCCCATATTACTGTTTGTTGACATTTCTACATGAACAAATTCCTGCTGCTGCCCTGTCTACAAAATCTTCCCATTTAGTCCTCTAGAGTGATGTGCCATGGTTCACCAATTCCCATATATTCTTAATCTCTTCACTGAATTTTCTTTCCATCTTTTGCCTTAACTGAACCTGGTCCAATTCTCTCATAGAGTCCTCACATAAAGGCTGTTCACTCTTCCCAAACCCCACGTAGCTCAGGATCTGGAAAGTATCCTAACTCCGTGTAACTCCAAAACCATCTGGATAAAAATCTCATCTTTTCTGACACTCTTCAGTCTCATGGCTTTAGCTGTCAACTGTGTATGATATTCACTTTCAAATTTCTCTCATGATGTTGAGACCAGAAGAACCCATTGTCTACATGACACTTCCATCTGGATGCTCTCTCAAACTCAATATATAAAAATCTGAACCTGCTGTGTTTTCCAACTCTGTTCTTTCTCATTTTCTAATATATATATGAGTGGCACCACCATCTCTCCAATTATCCAAGTCCAAAATCTGGAAATCATCAATGGAGTCTCTTACTCAAATATTAATCCCCAAGCACTAGTCACCAATAACTATCAATTTAAACTTCTGTAAGTCCTCTAATTCTCTCCATTACAGCTGCTACTGCTATTGTACAAATTATCATCCCTTACTAGAATATTCTACAGAACAACAGCCTCTTAACTGCTTACTCTCCCTCCAGTATTACACTTCTCCAACTCATTTTACAGTACCCAAATTTCAAAAATATTTTAAATCATGTGGTACCTTATGAGGTGTAAATTATGTTTCAATTTTTAAACATCACTTGATCTTAAAAATTTAATATTTCTACTATTCTAAATCCATCATCATTCAGCACAAGAGTTTCTATCTAGCTCTTTTACACAATCGTTCAGTCACCAGCTCATTGATTTTCTCACAACTGTGTAACACAGAACATCAACCAAAACCAGAATTATCAAATTTGATCCAAATTAATTCTTAAAATTTATGAGACCTATAACTCTTAATTTCATATATACGAACTGTAATGCAATAAATTTTAGTTTTTGTTATATATAAATAATGGCACTTCAACATGTTTATAACATGAGCAAAATAAGAACATTGTAAAAAAAGTTTTTTGGAAGTCTGTGGAAAGAAAACATTTCAGATTAAAAAAAAAAAAATGAAAACTCACCATACACACCTGTAGAAGGGGTAGAATTGTTCATGGTAAAAGGTCCGTTAATGATGCCAGAAGAAAGAAGCTCATCAGATCCCCGCTGAAAAGCAAGAGCAACAACAGTCTATTAATATAACAAGTCTCAGATAATGATCCATATTTACTACTAAAAATATTAAAAGTTAATATTACTTCATCTGAATATCAGGGCATTTAAGGGGAAATCTTTAAGAATTACAAAAGCTGGGCCAGCCAAGTGGCGCGTTGGTTAAGAGTTGGCTTAGGGGCCGGCCGAGTGGTGCGATGGTTAAGAACTGGCTTGGGATGCCAGAGGGCCCCGGTTCGGATCCCACATATGAGGGCCAGTGACACTGCCCTCCACAGCTAAGATGCTGAACAACAGCTCAACCTGGAGCTGGGCTGCCGTGAGTCGCCAGCGACGGCGTAGGCTGCAGCCCTTTTGGCAGTGGGTTGCCATGGGCTACCGTGTGTAGCCAGCAGCCAGTGTGAGCTGGCCGCAGTGAGCGGCCGTCCAGAAGCGGGCGACTGATCTGCCTGTCCCAGGAAGAGCGCAATGATGGTGCCAACTTGGGCCAGTGAAGCAACGTCCTCCACAACTAGACTGAAGAACGAAAGGACAACAACTTGTCTGTTACCCTCCTCCAATTCCCCAATAAAATCTTAAAAAAATATATCACAAAAGCTAACAGTAAGTGAACTTTATAGTAAAGAATAATTACTGCACATCTACATGATTGTCAGTTGTTAAAAAACAGAACTGTCATCACATAATTGGGAGCATAATCTTGTACCCTTTTTTTGATTAAACCCAATCCTCTGAAATGTTACATCTGAAGTGCCAGAAACCATAGTTAGGGGTTGCATCCTGACATTATTTCTGTAGTATATTTTTAAGTACATTTAGTATACTAATGTTTTAATTATATATAGTGTGTTAAGTATGTTAAGTTTTTGTAATATATAAGTATTTGCTTATCTGTAAAATGAAGATCACAATGGTATCCATCATCCTCATGGGTTGCTCTGAAGATTAATATTTCTAATACATAGGTCTCATTAAACATTAGCAAATAAATATTAATGATTAATTATTCAGTCCTTTTCAAAAGCTATATATGCCAATAGTTACATGTATGCAATGTAATTAGTAATGGACAGCAATCGCCTGTCCAATAAAGGAAAATTTCTAAAGTTTTAAAAAGAAATACCATCTCCCAATCCTACCAAAAAGTATATTTCCTTCTTTCAGATGAATTAATAAACACTTGATTTTGAGATAAAACATGCTTGTAAAGTGAAAGCAATAATTTTCACATTTTATGTAACAAACTTAAAACATGTATCCATTTCTAATAACTAGACTTGAAACCCTTTTTGTATAGGGTTGCACAGGAGATTTAAAAAACCCCATTTATGATTAACCTTTGAGAATGAGAAAGATAAAGCATGTATCTGCTTGGGCATTACACTTTCTCCTGCAGAACACACGAGATCTGTTTAGAGCAGCGGTTCTCAACCTGTGGGTCGCGACCCCTTTGGGGATCGAACGACCCTTTCACAAGGGTCGCCTAAGACCACAGGAAAACAAAAAGATATTTACATTACAATTCATAACAGTAGCAAAATCACAGTTACAGAGTAACAACGAAAATAATTTTATGGTTGGGGGTCACAACATGAGGAACTGTATTAAGGGGTCGCAGCATTAGGAAGGTTGAGAACGGATGGTTTAGAGAAAAAAGCGAAGTTTTTCACTATAGCTATCCTTTTTTTAATGATCTTTGCATATTTATCTATTATCTCAGAATAAACCTGTAGATGTTAAATAGATCATTTTTCATTTTGCTAATTCACTTTTATCTTACTATGTACTTTATAGTATGATTCTGTGCTCCTCTTTGTAATCCTTTTATCGTAACTGATAGGCTTTCGCTATACTCTTACAGAGTCTTCATCATAATTATTTTTAATGGAGTCTTAAAATTCTATAATGAAATACTTTACTATTCCCCTATTATTAAATATTGGTATTACTTGTAATTTATTGATATCATAAATAATGCTGTATTGATTCTTTTACAATACATAATTTTCTGTATTTTATATTCTATGCATAAAATAAATATTTAGAAATGAAACAATTCTTATTTTTTGAGTGGAAGGTAAAACTTCAAGAAATCTCAAATCCCTACTTCACAATGTAGAGTAACTTTGAGTTACTACAACACTACAAGAGACTACTAAGAAACATTTTTACTTCTATAGAGATGTTTCAAAATATCATTAGAATTAGCACATGACCAACTCCTTTTAATATTACTCAAGAGTTTGGCTTACAGTTTGTGTAGTAAAGAACTTAACCTTGGCCAAAGAGAGGTCTGGCTTTTGCCTTCTCCTTGTAGGAAGGAATCTCTAAGCCCCTGGAAGGTCATGCCTGAGCGAAGTGTCTTTTTTTAACCTGGGGGCTTTAAGTCACTAGACAGTGTTAAGAGTGGGGGCTGGCCACACCTAAAAGACCAACTATGTGATTCAGGGTAGGGGCTTTTGGGCATGGCTGGAGAAGCTGGAGGCTGAAGCCTGAGGTTAGCTTCAAGGGTGATCAATTGTGCCTACATAAAAGAGCTGCCTCAATAAAAAATATAACCACCAAAGCACAGGTGAGCTTCCCTGTGTGACATCCTCCATGAATACTATCACATATTGACGCTGGAAAACTAATGTGTCTTGACTCCATGGGGAGAGGACAAAGGAAGCTCTGTGTTTGGTTACTTCCCCAAACTGTGTCCTATGTGTTTTTTCCTCTGGCTGATTTAAATCTAGATCCTTTCCCTGTAATAACCACTAACCACAAGTATAACAGCTTTCAGTGAGTTCTGTAAGTCCTTCTAACAAATTTTGGGACCTGAGGGTGGTTTTGGAAACCCCCAGAAAATATAATTGGTGTCAGGAGTGAGGGTAGTCTTTTGTGGACTGTGTTCCCTAACTTTGCAGTCAGCCTAATTCCTCTCATGGTTAAATGATAAATCAATTAAAAAATAAATAAAGAAGTTATTCACTTAACAGGTTCTTAAAAACTTTATTCTTAACCTTTGAATTACTATTTGGACTTCTAGCTGTAAAATAAAATTTTAATCTAAAAATGTGATTAAATATTCAAGCATAGAAAAACTGGAAAATTTAACTTACATTTATATGGCATCTTAAATAAATTAATACAACTTATTAACTGTAATATTTAATGTAGCCCCCCAAAATATAAACTATAATAATAAAGAAATGGTGAACACTGCAGAGTGCAGCAGAGTCTTTAAAATAAAACCATTTATAAGTTTGATAATTCTAGATCTTTCAATAGTAACAGGAAGAGTTTTTAAAACAGAATATGTATAAAATAATGCATAAGTAAAGCAGACCCTATAGTAGCAGGTAAAGTGTTGGCATGGATATTTTTATTGCCTCATTATATACAAAAATTAAAATACTTGATCTTAAAATTTCATATCTGGAAATTCTATTTTACATCAGAGATGGGGTTTACCATTCATCATATAGAATAAACAACACATCTCTGAAATAATATGATATTTTAAAAAACCTGTAACTTCTTGACCCTAACAATTTCAGGATACGATAAACAAAAGATAAAGAGAGCAAAAGAAGCTCACATTTGAAAATGCAGTCATAAAATATATTCTGATAATCACAATTTACTGGTCATGTTTTTCCCCCAAGAATTCATTTTCAAATTACAGAAAATAAAGGGTTTAAAAAATACATTATAAAGCTGAAATACCAAGTTATAGTACTTTGTAAAAGATGAGAAAAACACAATAGCTTTGTATTACTTTAAGCATTTCCTTTCTTTTAAAAAACTTTTCTTTCCTAGACATACATTCTCCTACAAACACATCACTACCTATAATTACAGACTACTTCAGTACAAAAAAGTACTTTTGAAAATTATACTTAATATTTATAAACTAAGTGTCTGAAAAGTAATTTTCCATTATAGTAAAGGAAAAGCAGTGCAAACCTAAGTAAAACAGTATCTCTCTCACAAAGTCTGATTGCTATGATAGATAAGGGAGAAAGGTTTAAGAGATGGATGAAGATAAGCATAATAAAGGCATTAAAAAAATAAATGGAAAGCTTGTTTGGATGAGTGACCACAGATGAGCAAGAGAAGGAAATTGTTAAAGAGAGAGAGAAAAAAAGACTCTGTACCACAGGTAAGCAAATTAACATTATAAAAAAAGCTTTAGCAAGTCAAATAATAAGGGCACTGGGGGGGGGGGCAGGGCGGTGGAAGAACACTGGATCAACAGTCGCCTTAGAAACACACAGTAAATTTACACAAGTGTAGCAGTTGTTCTGTGGACTTGTTAGCTCTATGGCTAAGTCAACACACTAATCAGCTTCAATGCCTCAAGTATCAATTATTAAAGCTCTCTCCTGCTGAAGAATAATTAAATACACAGGGCCAACAAAGCAAAGGAATACTGTAATTAAGCAGCACAAATAAAGTATGTCATTATCAAATTTGATGGGAAGTGGTTTTATTTAGCATTAAAGTGAGATTATTAATATGATAAAAGGCAATCCACACAACTGAGAAACAGCCACTAAAATAACACGGAAGGAAGGTTCTGAAAATAAACCATTAACTCATGGTTAAAACTTCAGATCATAGCTAAAATGGACATGAAATTCGAGAAGATCACTTGTTTTAGTCATCAAGATACTAAGAACATAAAAAAGAGGCTATCAAAAAGATTCACAATTTTCCATAACCCTAGAACTTTTTTAAATAAAATAATCTTAAATATTAAAATTAGTATCTACTTTGTACCTTGAAACCAAGGTAGTCCCCTGCTAGAAAATTTGTAGCAGACGGTCTAGTGACCCTTTGTGAACGCTTCCCAGAACAGAAAACTCATGTTAATCCTGCTGTTACTATGTTTTTCCATAAAAGAAGTAAAAGTGATATTAAGTAGCATCTCACCATGCTATATATATATATATATACACTGTTGATTGTGGTCTCCTAATTATTCACCTTTATATCCTCTTCCACAGAAC